AAAGGGACTTAAGCCATGGCCATGCAAAGCAAGCCTCAAAGGGGCAAGGGCATCCAAAACCATCCCAAGGTAGGTCAAAATGAGTCTAAAAAAATGCTTGAACCTAGCCATTACAAGCTAGAACAAAAGGCCGAAAACATGAAGCATGCAAGGCTACAAAGGGGTATTACACTACACCTATTAAAACCAAGCATGGGGTGACTTAACCAATGAAAATCAGAGTTATATCATAGCATAATAACCCCAAAAAACACATTGAAATGATAGCTCGCAAGCTTAGACATGAAGGCATACGCAATGATCCATGTTAAGGCATAAAAACACAAACTATCCAAAGCATGGAATAGGTGATAAATGCAAGTGTGTGACCATGAAACATGGACTGAAATCACATTTCACATGATGCCAAATCATGAAAATACTTCAAGTAATGCATGCTAATGGACTCAATGCACAAAGCCTACAAGCTAGATTAAACCAAGGCTACACAAAGCAAGTCATGCATGACCAAGACAACATAAATCAGACCTTAAACATGCTAAAACATGAACAAAGTCCTCTCAGAGCTAAGCCAAAAGCATGCTAGAATGACATGTTAAAGCATGAGACACACTAGGCTAATTCATGGAATTACACTACAAGTGTATGGAGCATGCAAGGGGCCATCAAACCCACCCAAAACAGAGTCATGGCATGCTAAAACAACACCAAAAACCTACTGAAATGGAGACAAAACAAACTAGAATGACAGGTTACTTTGTGAAGCATACAAGACTAGTTTGTGTGATTTACACTACAAGTGTATTATGCATGCATAGAGTGACAAAACCAAACAAAAACAGTGGAATGCCATAGCAAAATAACCATAAATACAAGCTAAGATATGGCCAATATAAGCTTAACAAACATGCTCGCACCTGAGGCATTCAAAGCAAGTAAGCACAACACAAGAAGAGGGGATGACCCTCTCCTTTTTGGGACCTCAAAACACCCTTCCCACCACTGAAATTCCTCTGAGTTTCAGTGGTGAGAAGGTCAAAACAAGGTGGTCCCAAAGGGTCACAAAGAAGGCACAAAAGCAAGGCCAAACAAGGCCTAAGAGGGGGTAAACAACCCTAAATGAAAAGAAGGCCTTAAACAAACTTTTTAAGAACGTAACAACATAATTTTCCAGTAGAAAGCTAAGCTTAAAACAACATGCAAGAAGGGCTAAAAGCTTAAGCAAAAATGGGGGATTTAAGGGTTAGAAACTTACCCTTGAAGACCACCTTCACAACTGCGACTCTAGCAAGCTTTTCAAGCTCAAATCAACCCAAGAACACCAAAAACAACTTCAAGAAGCCTCAGCAACACAAGCAAGGTGTTTGAGTGTGTGTTTGTGTGTTAAACTAAGACAAAACTACACTTTGAAGACACAAAACAAGAACAAAAGAGAAGTATAGATACAAAACTATATGTATAACTCAAACTCCATTTTTTGAACCTCTGACATGGAGGAGGTGCCTCTCCTTATATAGAAGAGAGGCAAAGCAAAGCTTGTTAAACAAGCTTGAAAAGAGGCTCATCCCTCCATACACGTGTATGGAGAAGAGATGAGTGGAAACCAGCTGGCTCAAAAGATCTGATGTCAAATCTGCTGAGACGAAGGGTTCTGTCGGCCATTAGTTGTGGCCGACAGTGCCTCACTGATGGTCGGCAGGCATCATCAGTAGTAGGCAGGGAAGAATCCATGGCCGGCAGTGCCAAAGCATGGCCGGCAGTTCACCAATAGGAGCATGATGAAAGGACCAACATATGGTCCAAAAATGGGGCAAAAATGATACAGGGTTTGGAAAACTCAAACCTGTGACGTTCCGCCGCAAAAGTTGAGTACCCGACGAGCAATCGAACTTGTGGCTGGATGTACCTGCAAGCACAAACAAGTCTTGAGGACGATAAAAAAAAATGGGGTGTCTATAATGGTTTATTAACGTGCCAAAAAAATATGTTCATACTTGGCAAGAAATGGAGAGTCAGTTTCATGCCCAGTTCTTCAGAATTGAGCTTGAAGTGAAGATGGTGGATTTGTCAAAATTTAAACAAAGACAATGAGAAAGTGCAGAACAGTACATCGATAGGTTTAAGAAAGCAAAAAACAAATGTCATGTGTACATGCCTGAAATAGAAGTTATAAGACTAGGCCAAAATGGTTTAGATTTTGAACTTAGGAAAAAGTTTGAAGGCATGATGTTTAGAGACCTATTTGAGTTGTCTTCAAGGGCAACTAGCTATGAGGCCATTCTCAGAGAAGAGCAGTAGAGAAATGCAGCCTCATTAAAGACTTATTACCAAGACGTTGAGTTTGACCTGGATATCGACATAGATGTTACTCAAGTAATAGGTAAAAAAACCTATTGTTTGTGAAACATTAAGGAAAGCTGACAAAGTTGTGAGCATGCTAGCAACACAGCTAGCCAAAAAGAATGTGGCTGTGTCACATAGGCAGTATTCTTTTGACTTATCAAAAGCAAATGCATTATTTGATGAGTTGCTAGCAAACAAGTTTTTAACTTTGATTCCTAGCCACGACATTCCCGAAGAAAGGGATAGGGTTGGCAAGGAGTATTGTAAATGGCATAATTCTTTCAGGGATTCCACTAATAATTGTGTTACATTTCGAAATTGTGTGCAGGACTTAATTCAAAAAGGAATGTTGAAATATACTGAAAAAGATAAAGGGGTTATGGCAATCGACAGTGACCCATTTCCAAACATGGTGGAAATCAATATGATACCAACTGATCTCTAGTCGAATGATCAAAAGAAAAAAGGGAAAAACCTCAGAGTTCTCTTGGTGAAGTTAGAAAAGCTTCACAAAGAGAGAATGGAGAAAATGGCAAAAGAAGCAAAAGGGAAAAAAAGTTCAAGAAAAGCCTAGTGAGAGGTTTATTTGTTTCAGATGTAGTACTGAGAAAGAAGGAGCTAAGGCCATTGTGATTGATGGAATTCAAAAAATTGGGAAAGATGTTGGCCTGAGGTTTAATACCATGGGTTGTGGTGATCTGCAGATTTTCGACAATGATTGTTTGTTCTATGATGTGATAGACCCAGGGATATTTGGTCATGCAGAGAACTATGGCAAGGATGATGCTCCATTCTTGTTCCAATGGGGCTCTTGTTCATCTATGCTTTGGTGGATCAAGTAATGTAGGGGCCATGCTTAACAACAAAAGGGTCCTAAGCCCTATGAAAATCCTAAGGTACTAACTAGGCCATACATTGACCAGCAACAACAATTTGGTGCACCACATAACGGCCATCAATAGACTGGAAGGCCATATAGGGCTCAACAGCCGTTTGTGAGACCATTTGGGGGACTTCAACAATAGTATCGTGGCCCAAGAATGAGGCCATATATGCAACTAATTCAACCAAGGATGGTAAAGCCTCCAGTACCATCCCATCAAGGGGCGCAAGGAGTATCTCATCCAAAGTTTTCCATGACTGTTTGGAGGCTAATGGGCAAAACAAGAGCTCAAAAAAGGACAGAACAAAGAAAATTCCATGCTATGATGTCTACAGCCGCAAGGGATAAGCCAATTGGAAGGCAAGATTTAGTATGGACTAGAGATGGATTGGTTTTTGCTGCTAGAGGGAAGGGTTCAACTTCTAGAGCTCATCCAGTACAACCAGTTCAGATTTTGAAAAGGAAAATGGAGCCAGAAAAGGCATATGTTGGGAAGCTTTCTAAGAAGGTTTTGTTGAGGCAGAAGCTGAAAGAGTTAGAAAATGATTTAATGTCTGATGATGATAACAGTAATGAGAAAAATGTGGCAATAAAGGATGATCAGGACCAGGAAATGGTCACTGATAGCATGAATGTTAATGAAGGAGTTAGAGAATATGAAGTTAAATCAGATAGTTCTGGTGGTGACTTTAGAGAATATGAAGTTAAATCAGATAGTTCTGGTTCTTTACCTCCATCTAAGGAGTGCAATATGATTATGGCCATCCCTCAGAGGTTTCAAGCCAAGTCAAATCAGCCAGATAAATTGGCAGGTGATGTTAAAAATTTGACTAAACTAGCAGTTCAGATAGCAATGATTGAGACACAAGCCAAGCCATTGAGATCAATTAAGGTGGTTAGATCTGTCGATGGAGAAAAGGTTATGCTACAAAAGCTAGAAGAAGAGCTCATCAAGCATCTAAGGCCTTTATATGTCAGAGCTTATCTAGATGGGGTGCAGTGGAAAGGGTGTTGGTTGATAATGGAGCTATTGTCAACATTCTTCCTTATAGGACATTGAAAGTTATTGGGAAGTTTGTTAATGACTTGCTTCCTACTAATGTGAATATAAGTAATTTCGCTGGTGGATCATCTGAAGCCAAATGAGTAGTGGCTTTACAGTTTCAGGTTGGTTCCAAGTAAATAGGAACAACTTTGTTTGTAATAGATTCTATCTCTAACTACAATGTGCTACTAGGTAGAGATTGGATACACCTTAATGGTTGTGTACCCTCTTCTCTGCACCAGGCATTGATCTTTTTAACCAGTGGTGGTCAAGGTAAAAAAACAGGAATAAAAGTTTACTGGGCAGATGCAAATCCCTTTGTTGCTGATGTTAACAATATAGAAGTTGTGTTGTATGATGAGGATTTGGGTCTAGTTGTGATTGATGAGGAATAGGTTAAGTCCCAGGGAAAAAGTCAGACTAATGAGGAATTCAAGGCCTTTGTTAAGGAAGGTTTTAAGCAGGTAGGCTAGGAATTGGCCAACCCAAGCCTAATACAGAAGTAGAAAGGCCTGTGATAGAGGAGGTTATTGAAGATCAAGAGTAATGCAGTTACAAGTGATAGAAGAAGACAAGCTGATGAGACAGCTAATGTAATTAGATCTACTTTTTCTAGGCTTTTTTTTTTTATTTTATTTCTTCTTAGAAAGTAAGTTTAGCCTTAAGTGTTTGCCCAATTGTTCTTGGGCAGAATGTGTTATCGACAGTAGCCCTCTGAGTTATAAAGATATGCAACTAGAACATCTGAAGGCTGCTCCTGCCAAATTTGATGACCTCAAGGCAGATGTGCAGGACCCTTTAGAGGAATATAACTTAGGGAGTAAGGCCTGTAAAAGGACCATTTATGTAAATGCTAATCTATCTAATGAATGTAAGAGCAAACTAGTTGGTTTGCTTTCTGAGTATATTGATTGCTTTGCATGGACTTATGAAGAAATGCCTGGATTAGATAGAACATTGGTGGAGCGTAGGCTTCCAATTAAAGGAAATTTCCTTCCCCATAAACAACCCCTAAGAAGGATGACCAATGAAGTCACCTTATTGGTCAAGGAGGAAATTGAAAGGTTACTCAAAGTAGGTTTTATTAGAATAGCCAGGTATGTTGAGTGGCTGTTATTGTCCCTGTTATGAAGAAAAATGGTAGGTTAAGAGTGCGCATAGACTTTAGAAACCTGAATCTAGCAACTCCCAAGGATGAATATCCTATGCCAGTGGCTGACTTGTTAGTAGCCTCAGAAGCCAAGAGCAAGATTTCATGCTGGGTATAATCAGATTTTTATTAACCTTGAGGATACACATAAGACGACATTCAGGTGTCCTGGTGCTTTAGGGACATTTGAATGGATAGTCATGCCCTTTGGATCAAAGAATGCAGGAGCAACATACCAGAGGGCAATGAATTTCATTTTCCATGATTTGATTGGGAAATACTTAAAAGTCTACATAGATGATGTAGCTATCAAATCTGATAGTTTTGATGTGCATTTGGAACATTTGCAACAGACATTTCAAAGAATGAGGACCTACAAACTCTAGATAAACCCCTTAAAGTGTGCATTTGGGGTATCTATTGAAAATTTTATGGGCTTCTTTGTGACGCCCTCAAAATAAACCCATAAATCATACATTCAATACATCCGTAAACTTAAGAGAAAAGAACATAATTCCATTTATCAGAGTATTCATTGCAAAAGTATTACATGTTGACATCAAAAGTAAATGCCCTACGGGCTTACAACTTTCCAAGCCAACACTTGGTTACAAAAAGAGAGTACTAACTCAAAGCACAAAATAAGCCCTTGGCTTGATTTACATGTAATACACAAAATAATCACAAAAAGGAAGCCTTCAGCTTCTACAACCTCCCAAGCTACGTCCTTGGAGGCGGCATACCACCTGTACCTGAAAATGATGTCCCATATAGGGTGAGCCAATGCCCAGTAGAGATATACTAAACCAAGTATGAGAATTAACTAAAACATTAGCATTCGATAAGTGGTTAACACATAAACGTCAACCTATTATACAATCCAGTTCCATGACAAATAGTCCATGTTTCATTTCACTTTCCATTACTTTTACAGTTTCGACTCACAAACATGGCTCAAAACCTGGCCAACCAATTCAATGAGACTACAACTCATATTAAAACATTTTCTTTTTAAATAAGATAGCAACTCATAACAAAACACTTCCATACTTCACAATAGATACACATATTTGCTGTATCAATGTCATGTTAAAACACTTCTATACTTCACAATAAATACACATATTTGTTGTATCAATGGAGTCCATCCCCTATCTCCTCCCAAATAATATCCGGTTTAGGAGTCCACCCCCCATCTCCTCCCAAACCATGGAGTACATCCCCTATCTCCTCCCACACAATACACATATTCCAAGTATATAAACACTCATCACATATAAGAATCAATTCATACACATATTTGATGTATTATTCCAACCGTCATATTCAATGACCTATTCAATGTGATTAGTTTCAGTTTTCCCTAATCAACATATAGTGTCTACAACAATCAAGACTATCCTCCACCGATAGCCCAAAGCAGTTATTTCTAAACAGATAATAAATGCATCAAACAAATATAACATCAATATCTTCCATAGGTGAGTGATTAATTTATCCAACCACACCATTCAATCCTATAATTTCCCAATTTCATTATTCTCAACTCAATTTCATATTTCCACATTTTCCCAAATTAATTATACAAATTAATTTAGTACGATAGTTAGGGCATAATTCCCCCTTTCTCAAAATCAACCCTAAGGTTCGATTTCGCCAATCTAACATCAATAATTCCATTTTCCAATGTCTCACGTACACATGGGTTTTAATATTTGAAAACCCCCCTTTTATAAATTACATAACAAACCCTAACTTTCCCAATATTACCCAACAATACCAACTAATCAAAATGATCAATGTTTATGTAAAAACTCATAAGATGGAGTAGGGTATCCCTACCTCAGAATTAGAAGCCCAAAGGAGAAGATGGTAAAAGATCCATAACTTTTCAGATTAAAATGTAGCCCACACGACCCTCTACCTTTCTTACAAAGAGATTAGGGTAGGAATACACTAGAAATAGATGAAACCCTAGAGAGAAGGTAAGTGTAGAGAGAGAGAGAGCCGAATCTAGGGTTTTGAGATGAAATGTGTATCAAAAAATGATGAAAGGGACGGCTGCTGTGTACTGATATAACAGAGGCTCGCTCGAGCGAAGGAATGGTCGCTCGAGCGACCAGACACAAAGATACCTCGCTCAAGCGTAGAAAGCCTCACTCGAGCCAACAATTCGAAGCTTCAGGTTTGCAACCCAGAAGCACGCTCGAGCGAAGAAAAGCTCACTCGAGCGAAGAAACCCAAAACATAGACCTCTTTCGCTCGAGCGAAGGAAAGCTTGCTCGAGCCAAGAAATGAAACTCTCAGGTCCAGAACCAGACACAGACGCAGGCTCGAGCGCAAGACTTCTCGCTCGAGCCACCAGACACAAAACTCAACTCTCACTCGAGCGAAGGAACCCTGGCTCGAGCGAAGGATCTAAAACAAAGAGCTCGCTCGAGCAACAAAAGCCTCGCTCGAGCGAAGAACCAAAATTCTGGGCAGCAATCATTGGTTTAAACTCACAACCAACCTGTGACAAACCTGCCTAACACATCCTAAAACTCAAATATATGGAATTAAAGGATAACAACAAGATATATACAACAACCAACTCCACGGAACCTAAGTCCAGATACAACAACCAAAGGAGGAAGAACCGGGATCATTATATTCTTAGTACACCACAAATGGATAGAAGTGGATGCTAATAAGGCCAAAGTAATTTTAGAGGCAAAGTCCCCAACCAATAAAAAAGAGCTGCAAAGTTTACTTGGAAAGATAAATTTTTTGAGGAGATTCATAGCCAATTTGGCTAAGAAAACTTTAGCATTTTCTCCCTTGATAAAAATCAAGTCAAACCATGAGTTTAAATGGGAAGCATGCCATCAAGAAGCTTTTGATTTACTCAAAAGGTACTTGGTAAACCCTCCAATGCTTATGCCCCCAAAGACAGGTAAACCTTTGACGCTGTACATCTCAACTTCTGACCTGCCGATTCGTTGTCTATTGGCTCAAGAAAATGATATGAGTCATGAACAAGCCATTTATTACCTAAGTAGAAGGTTAAATGATGCTGATACCAAGTATAACTTTATTGAGAAGCAGTGTCTGACACTTTATTTTGCGACTATTATTAAGGCATTATATGCTACCTACAGAGGTGTATGGGGTAGTACAAACAGATGTGATTAAATATATGTTGTCCAAGCCCATCTTGAGAGGAAGACAAGGCAAATGGAAATTAGCTTTAATTGAATATTGTCTCAAATATGTGCCACAAAAAGCAGTCAAAGGGCAAGCCTTATCTGATTTTCTGACAGAACACCCTTGTACATCTGTCGATTTAGATTTATATGAGATTAATATGGAAGAGAATGAACCTTGGAAGCTGATGTTTGATGGTTCAAAGACAAATGCAGGAGTTGGAGCAGGTATTGTGCTAATTGCGCCAAACAGGCAAATGTACCAGTTTGCACATCAGTTGGAAGAACAACATATATAGTCTTGTAATCAAGCTGAGTATGAAGCCCTGATAATTGGCCTAGAGTTGGCTATGGGATTCAAAATTAAGAATCTTCAAGTTTTTGGGGATTCACAGTTGGTCATTAAACGAGTCTTGGGTGAGTTCAAGTGTGTAAGTTGTGCTCTAGAGGAGTATTTAATTGAAGTTAAATGGTTAATGAGTTTCTTTGACCATATCATATTCACACATAGATACAGGCTGGAAAATAAAGAAGCCAATGAGATGGCTCAAGCAGCTTTTGGGTTAAAAATTCCTAAAGGAGCTCAAGAAAGGGTGGTTCGAATTAAGAAAAGAAACTTTTCTACGCTTAGGAATAGGTGTAGAACTTTTTTGCGAATTTGTACTTTGGATGTGACAGAGGAAGATTGGAGATTGCCTTTAACAAAATACCTGTCGAATCCTAGTGAAGGAAGTAATAGGCAAATAAGATATCAAGCCCTAAATTATCTTGTCATGGGAGATGACTTATTTAGGAAGGCACATAATGGTTTGACTTTACTTTGTATTGGTAAGGTAGACCAAATGAAAGTCATGGCAAAAGCACATGAGAGAATTTGTGGGGCCTATCAAACTGGTGATAAAATGAGATGGTTGATTAATAGGTATGATTATTTTTGGCCATCTATCAGAAAAGATTGCATAATGTACGCAAAAGGATGTCAGAGTTTCCAGAAACATAGCAATATTCCAAGAGTTTCGGCCATAAGTTTTCATTCAGTGGTGAAACCTTGGTCTTTTAGAGGATGGACCATGGACTTGATAGGGCAAATTTTTCCAGCCTCTTCAAAAGCACATTCTTATTTGCTAGTAGCCACTGATTACTTTACCAAATAGGTAGAAGCAATACCTTTAAAAGTTGTGACACAGACTCAAGTCATTAAGTTTTTAAAAAGAATGTGATCCATAGGTTTGGTTGACCCTAATCCATTACTGTCGATCAAGGTACAGTGTTCAATGGGGATGAGATTAAAGGGTTTGCCATAGAATATGGCATTCAGATATTGAATTCCTCACCCTATTATGCCCAAGAAAATGGGTAGGCTGAGGCAACAAACAAGATTGTCAAGAACACTTTAGAAAGGATGATTGAAGACAATCCTAGGGATTGGCATAACCTCATGTCAGAAGTGCTTTGGACTTATAGAAATTCCAAGAGAGATAGTACAGGCACACCCCCACATGAGTTGGTTTATTGGCTAGACGTTTAGATATCCCTGTGGATGAATATACTAAAGCCATGTCGATTGAGTTGCAAGACTTAGAGGAAAGAAGGATTATGGCCTTTAATCACTTGATAGCTCAGAAAAAGAAATTTGAGAGAAGTTATAACAAGAAAGTAAAAAGTAAAGTGTTTCTGAAAGAGATTTGGTGTGGAAAACCATTTTACTAATTGGTTTAAAGAGCCCAGAATATGGCAAGTGGTCCCCAAATTGGGAAGGTCCATTTAAAATACACAAGGTCCTTAGAGGGAGAGCTTATCATCTTGCCTCTTTAGAAGGAGAGCCACATAGAAAGGTCATTAATGACAAGTACCTAAAGAAATACTATCTAACTATGTGGGAATGCATGAATAAGTCATAAAAGCATGAAAAAGATCATATGTGACAAGATAGGAAAAGCCATAATAAATGTGATAGATCTTTCATTAAAAATTGTGTCAAAAGTACAAACAAGGTGTGCCTAAGTCTGGCTCAAGCTTGTTTAATAGCAGGTGGGCCACCTTCTGCTTGAACAAGAAGGTTTGGAATTTGTTGAAGAAGGTTTGGAATTTGTTGGGAAAGGTTGGCTTGTTCTTGTTCAGCAACAACTTCTTGAGCTCTCATATGTGCCAGTTGAGCCTCTAGTTGAGCCTTTTCTGCTGTGAGGAGGGCAATTTGAGTA